AGAAACCCAAGGTGCTGCGATCTCACCATCAAGTCCCAGTTTCTTTTTGGGTGCTGTGCATTGGAACTGTGGTTCTGTGCAACCATTGAGAATAATGTGCCATCAGGGAGAGGGGCCTGTCTGAGCTGCTCATGGCTCTTTTGTGAACTGCTTCTCAGTGGCTGCTGTACTGAAAGGTACATATAATTGTGTGTGAATATTTTCTCTTTAACACCTACTTATGCGCTTTTTTTTTTTTTTCTCTTCCTGGGGAAATCTGTAGTTGATTAAAATTACCATGAATTTTCTTAGGTAATTGCTACCAAATGAAGCTGCGTGCAGTGTGCGTATGCATATGTGCAAATACAAAGAAGCGTGGATAAATACATACGTGGAAATAGGGGCACAGCTAATGGGAAACATCTTTTACTAAGCAATTAATTCACAGCTCTCCAGCCTGTGCCATGTCTTGGAGGTCACTGCGCTGCAGTGTTTTGTGTTCTCCTCTGCACCGGTGCTATAAAAATGCTAATTGTCCCCATGAAGATGTAGGCTGTTTATAAGCACAGGCGTGATTGTTTTGCAGCCCTGTGAGCTCTAAGGCGGTGTTATTTCAGGTTTGTAATTTGAATGTGTGATGAATACAACTTTGACAGTTTATTAGTTAGAAAAGGAGAAAAAATAACAGACACCGGTGTGTCGTTCTTCAGCAAATTGATTGCCAGGAGCATGTTATTGACTTTGGTGATAATATCATTATATATTTTACGGTCATAAAATCAAGAAATTCAGATTATACCCTGAGGGCTTCACACATTTAAATAAAGGATATAGCCATTTCCTGGGCTATTGGTTTAGATTGCTGGATGCTGTGAGGAATACGTAGTATGTTAGAAGTAGTGCACTTATTGCTGCGATGCCCTGGTTTATTTTCTTTTTCTGCTTGTGAAATACCCTTACTTACAAGTCCCCTGGGTTGCTCAACATGTTGGCATATTACTGCACTGCTGGTTCAATGCTCCGTGGGGCTGAGAGCTGTTACAGTCTGGTCCTGGACTTGTATTGAGGTGAAGGTGAGTCATCTTCAGGCACTCTGCCCAGGCTGTTCAGAGCTGGACTTTCTGCCTCATTTTCCTCTTGGACTACATAAGAGGGCTTTGAGAACTAGTTTATAGTCACATCTTGGGATTGAGTGTACTTGAGGCACTTAGTTTGAGTACTTTGGATTTGGGGTTCAAGTCTGTCTGTAGTTTGGTGAAGGCATCTTAAGTCATATTGCCTTGGATGAAAATGATTGAATATATTTAAAACCTCGTTTATTACTTTTAGATTTATTGAGATCGATAAAGTACCCTAAACCTGCTGCAATAGGAAACTTCCCTGCTTCAGCTGCCAACACAGGACTACGTTGCATCACAGCACTCTAGGGATTTGTGGTGCTCTTAGGATTGCACAAATCCAAGTGCAAAGCTGCAACCCTGCAGCAAAGGCCATGTTTGCTGCATGGCAGGGAGTGGCTGCGGCTGGAATGCATGTGGCTTCAAGGGGAGCAGTGGCATATAGAGGAGTAGATACAATAATCTCCCAGACATTTACATTTAAAGTGCCTCTGAGGATCACAAATCCATATGCCGCAAACAAAACGTTTATTTGCCTATGTCAACAGTGGCATGCTTACTAATTAAAAGTCATTACCTTTCTAAATTGAGTTTGTGTGACATTGTTGTTAGTGTTCGTTTTGCTTTTGCATTCATTTCTCAGTGCGGGACCTGAGCATCAGTTCTGGTTTCCTTCTGGATGGTAAGATGTTTGTGTTTGATTGCAAACAAGTGCCTGGGATGTTTGGTTCATGAAAGTAATTTGTGAAGGAGTTCGAGAGCAAATCATTGGGCAGTAACCATTGGTCTTGAAGGTAATGAAGTGTAATCCATTTTAGAATGGGCTAATGGTGTTGGGTCATCTGATGAAGATCCCCTCCTGTACAGGGGATGGTGGGCAACTGAGATGCACATGAACTTCTCACCCACTGTGGCTTCAATGAGTATGGGGGTCTGCATAGTCAAAGAAAGCACCCTAAAATGGAAACCTAAGGAAATACATGTTTATAAAAATAAGTACCTGTCATTAAACACGTGTTCTAATTTTGCTCTAAACTGTTGTCTAGTAATGAATGGTGGAAAGCTTTCCGGTGTAAACTGCAGCTTAAGGATTTGGATGGAGGAGATGTGGCCATACAGCGAGGAGAGAGACAAGTTGCAGATGGCTGGTTCATAGCAGAGGGCAGTGCGTATGTGCATCTCCAGGCTTTACATGGGACATATGCTCAAGGGTTTTTATGGCTGAATTTGTAGTCTCTAGTAATTTGCAGTTTCCACCACAGTTTAAAATATCGACATCGTTTTCAGGTTGATGATTTTTCCAGTCATTTATCCCCCAAACCACTCCATCCTACTTAATCTGGGTCATAATTAACATGAGGCTTGTGCGTAGGCAAACACAGCCATACGTTGTGTTTGAATGGGCTATTAATGTCATAGATTTACTTTCATTCTGAAAAATAGATCATAGGTTGGAATAAGTATAAATGTTCAAATAAGTGGGTGAATGCACGCTCGTTATCATGACTCAGGAAGCACTCTGCAGTGCTTACGTGCATGGAGTCACAGTGATATTACTATTAGCTAACAGCTGCCTTCTGCTATAATGAAGACGTAAGGCTGAAAATTGTTGGCAAGAAAGCTGCTGGAATTGAATTTTATTTACTGCGAATCAACAGGATATCTTTGCAAGTGTAGGAGACATACGGGAAAAGTCCACTGTGATCCTTGTAGTTTGTCGTGTCTCCAGATGTTCTCCCTCCTGCCCAACATTGGGGGCTGAAAGAGGAAAGGGTTTTTTCATCAATTCTGGCTGGCAGTGCCAACATCTGCCTTGGTGTTCCCCTGAGGAGAGCTGTTAACATTACTTCAAGTTTCAGATTTATCATTTGTGCCTCATTTGTGGCGTTTTGTTTCTTTATTTTATTTGGTTAGCTATTCTTTAAATACCATGTGAGAGCATGAAGTTTCAACCTGCTGTTTATTTCCTTCTGAGGGAGCAGGAGCGAGAATAAATCAAAGGAGACAGTTGGGTGGCCCTTGAACTAGCACAGCATCCCTTCTCAGCTACCTTATTTTTAGGAATTATAAATAAGGCATCAAGACATTGCTTTGGGCAGATCCTTGTCATTGAATGAAGTGGTATTTGTGTGCTCAAACACACTCCAAGACCTCAACATGCTTGAAATAGCATGTTTAACAAACATTTAGCTCTTTCTTAGTTCACAGCATGGACTGTGCTGTGTGCTGGGTGAAGGAGAGACAAATGAAGCTCTTGATTTGGAAGTATTCTATCTTAGTCATGTATGCTACCTATATTTTCCCATGGTGAGATGGTAGAAATTTCAGTTCCATAGTTTTGAGCCAGGTTTGTTCATCCCCTTTGGTGTGTGTGTAAAGCTAGCAAAGATTTTTGACCTGCTGGCAAAGATTTTTTTAATAGAAATGCAAAACAAAAGAGCTTTTTCCTCCTAATTTTGTCCTACTTATCAAAAACTATTTGTGCCAAAGCAGATTTTATTAATTTTTTTTTGTTGTTGTTCCTTTGAGTAGTATTTTTTCTGTGCTTCAATCTGTCCAATTAAGAATAAGTTTGAAGAATGTTTGGGGCCCGAATTCTCAAATGCAGTTGTCTAAAACTAGCTTCTTGTTCCTCTTTTACAATACCTAGAAGTACAAGATGAGCTCTATGACTGGATGGGAGTATAAATTCATGCAACATTGGTCTGTGTTTGGACCAAGTATTTGGCCTCGTTGAATCCCTGGAGGCATTCAGGGCCAGGCTGGATATGGCTCTGGGCAGCCTGGTCTGGTGGTTGGCGACCCTGCACATAGCAGAGGGGTTGAAACTAGATGATCATTGTGGTCCTTTTCAACCCAGGCCATTCTATGGTTCATGTATTTTGCTGGAATCCATTGGGAGCCAAAAATGTCCAATTCTTCAGCATGTCCCAGTTCTGCTTGCTTGTTTGTGCTGCAGGTATTTGGCTTTAGCTGCTTGCTTGCTTGCTTGCAAATATTTACAGCTTGCTGCTGCTTTTTGTTTCAGATTCTAGCACAAAAATCCAAAGACAGTAGACAAAAGCATTTTTAAGCATGTTTAGGAAGACTGATTACACAAAACAAACCCCTCTGCAGACACTTGCTGGGGATGAGGAACCAAAGCATGACAAGTGCTCATATTCCTACAGTCAAAATGCCTTTCATGCGTCGCTGTAGTGCCATGGTTGTGTACTCATCTGGTCTGCACACAGTAGTTTATGTACGCTGACCCTATCAGTGCTGTGCTTTATTAACCTGTGATTGCTTTTTTATTAAGAAACATCTCATGCCATTTTTCAGCTTCTCAGCTTGAGCGTATGAGAGCCAGCGCTGCTAGTGATGGCCCTTTGTATGTGTCTACCAACAGAAAGAATAGAACAAGGAGCTGGTGTTTATTGTGTGGGTTTTAGTGCGGCAGTATTCTTGAAGGAAATAACATTGTTTGTTTTTTTATTGCTGAAATGATAATAGCCTGAGTATTGCTGATACGGTTAGATAAGTTGTAATGCGAGGGAACAGCAGCATGTTTCTGTGAGAGTTTTGTCTGCAAAATGAAGAATTCTCAAGTGTATTGGGATTAAAACAACCCGGGAAGATCAGAAGTGTTCAGATTTGTCAGGTCTGATTCGGGCTTATCTCTTATTTCCGTAAACCTAATTTGTGTGCAAATTTTGTGCAGGAGATTTTGTATGGCAACAATTCCACTGTGAATTCGTGTGAGGCAATAAGGTCAAAAGGTTTTATTGAACTAGTACATTTCTTCTAATTTTATTCAAATGTTCACACGTTGAGGTGGGTGCTGGATCTGATTTACTACTTAACTGGGAGTTTTTATTCGTTTATTTGCCTGCAAATGTCACTGTTTCCCTTATGTCTTTTCAGGTCAGGATCGCAGCGAAGCCACTTTAATAAAGAGGTTTAAAGGTGACGGTGTCCGATACAAAGCAAAGTTGATTGGGATCGATGAGGTTTCAGCCGCACGGGGAGACAAGTTATGCCAGGACTCCATGATGAAGCTCAAGGTGCAGTGCATCCTTCAGTGTTTAATGTTTGGGAGGGATGGGGAGAGCATTTCAGCTTGAACTTTTGCTCATTCTCCATTCGTGACACCGAGTCACGCTCTGGTTAATTATGTATTGAAATCAGTCAATTTTACATGAACTCCTGGCTGGTACTGCTTATCCCAGTTTAATTTTAATACATTGTCTCAAAGTTCAGTAGTTATTCATGATTGACACCGCTGCAATTTGTCCACAAATTGCAAACAACACAGCTGCAAATTGAGTGGTTTTATTATGCAAAAGGAGAGGTGAAAGAATATAGGGAATAATAATACATGAGATTGTTGCGTATGACATTGTTAATGAACTCCAGCCTTCCCTTTAACCATTACCTTCTGCTGGGGTGGGCAGGAAGAGTGGAATAATGGTGTGGGCTGTAAAGTTCAGATATGGAACAGCGGGATTAAGGAGTTACAAAATATGAGGTTGGACCCTGAGAGGACAGGGAATGGGTTCCAGTCCTGTGGAGCAGGCAAGTGTAGGTGGTTGTTCGTGAATAAGCAGCAAAGGGCGGCACACATCTTATACTGCAACAATCTAAAAGAGAGATGTGGTCAATAATTTACAAATCAAGAATTAAGTGGTTCAAAAAGACGCACTACAGGCTTAACTATCTTTTCTATCAATTTCTATCTTTCTGATGGCTTACTGGATATTTCACAACATCCCATAGTTGCTAGTAGCAATCAGGGAGACTTAGCACTGTTCTGCTGGGCTAGCCTTTGTATTTCTTTCCTCCGTGGAATATTATTTCCACATCTCCAGAGATGCCAGAGACCCATTTGTGTAATGGTGAGGTGGTTCTGAGCAGTATTTTGAGATGATGGAAACAGGGAAGAGAGCATTAGAAGATCATGTTGGTATGTAAGGCAGCATAGCAAGTTGGGAGTATCAGAAACTTAGTGTGTAACAGCAGGAGTTCTAAGGTCAGGAATCATTTTTGGGATGTCTGTTGACAAGTCAGTTGTTCTCTTTTATATTCATGTCTATGCAAGGAAAACAATGACCTCTAGTAGGCTTGAAGACATTTTGGAACATTTTTATTTGCTGTTTAATTTGCTTAATGTTTCATCTTATACACTGTTACTGATTAAGGCAGCAGGGCTCCCGAATAGGTGGAAATGGGTTTTCTTTTATGGTTAGGCTGTGGAAGTGTCATGTAGGAATTGTGTATCAGCAAGTTCACTTTCAAAGGAAAAGCCAGAGATCATGAGCAAAACTAACCATGTATGCCAGGTTGTTGGGTTTTTTTTTTTACAGTAGAGGTGTAGTTTGCTGCTGCTTCTGTAAAAAACTCATTTTGCTTACTTCAGGTACGTGTGTCCCCATGAAGTGAGCTTAAGTCATGGGAATTTTTTCCCCACTGATTGTTCATTGTGGGTTTTGTTGTTGTTCCCTTAAAAAAAAGAAAAAAAAGCAAGAAAAAGAGAAAATGGAATGGCTTACAGCTGGAAGAAGTGCACTAGAAATGAACTTCAACATTCAAGAAAACAAATTCCACAGAGGATTAGCTAATTTAGGGATTGAAAGTGGGAGCACGCTTGCAGTGATCTCTGGGTAGCATAAAAGGGATGGGTGCCTTTAGAAAAGGGAGAAGACCAAAAGTAAAGGGGTACTGTTCCTGGAGAGCCCTCAAGTATTCTTGGAAAGGTGATGAATTGTCAACATATGCTTTGCTGTGGGCACCTGTCAGAAAACAAAACCAGGAGAATAATGAAACCAGCCCAAGTATTTTTTGTTTCAACAGGGAATTGTTGCTGCGGCCCGTTCGAAAGGAGAGCATAAACAAAAAATCTTCTTAACAGTCTCCTTTGGTGGAATCAAAATCTTCGACGAAAAGACAGGGGTAAGTAAAACAGCCATACAGTGGCACAAAATTGAATCTATTCATGGATATTCCTTTAAAAGTATTTCCTCGCTGGGCAGTAATATCTCACCAGTGTAGGCACACATAAAACTTCTGACAAGCTTGATAAAGGGTTATCATATATCAGAACAAGCCATTAGATGACTGAGTTGTAAAGTGTAGCATGGGGATGTGGTTTATTGTAAAGCTTTGTCCTGGCTACTTCTGCAGAGCAATTTACTTGAGTACATGAATGCTCCTTATGGGCATCAACACTCACAGCTTGGAGGCCAGAAAGTGGCAGGGAGTGATTTGTTTTCCTTTTGCCAGCTTCCAAAATTGCTTCTTGGAAATACCAGTGGTCTGTTTGCAGGCTGGTAATGTCACCCATAGGGGTTTCCTCATCCATCGTGGGCCCAGCCCACTGCTCCTCCAGGTGCTGCTTTAGGCTGCTCAGCAGCAGAGGGCAAATGACTTCTGAGAGTCTTTTCATAAAGGTTTAGGATTGAGGTTGGCTTGGAGTGGGCTACATGTAACATGGGAAGCTGAGGTGAGCTGTGGGCAAACCCAGGTGAGCGAAGCTTGTTTTCCCAATAGAGAAGACAAAGAGGAAGGGCAGCAGGAGCTGCACACACTTTGTTGGGGTTTGCAGGATAATTTGAGTAGGAGGAGACCTTTTCCCTCATCTATTTTATGTCCAACAGGCCATGTGAGTTACCATTGTGCCTTGACTAACAGTACACAAAAATCCAAGAGCCACTGCTGCTGCAGTCTACAGCTGTCCCATAGCTCAGATTACGGTTGTGTCAGTAACCCAGGCAAGAGATCTATTAAATCTATGATTCTATGATGTTTCTGTCAGCAGCAACATTGCTCTTTTGTAAGATATGCAGTAAACGTGAGAATTAGTGTATTTTAAACATAATTGTTAGGAAAAATACGTATATTGTATGGGATCCAAGGTCTACGGTGTATTTTACTTTGGGGATGCACTTTGAGGCTACCAAGCAGCCACTTTCCTGCAGCATTGTGTCAAGCAAGATGCAGACTACACTGTCTGGTGCAGTTTTTGCCACAGAATTAACATGTTTGGTTATTTTTAACTGCTTTGAAAGAAGAAAGCTAAGCAAAACATTATACTACTTAGACACAAAGGCACTACACACAAACTGTTTTAATCCTAATTAAGAAGATTTTTACAGCAGTTTAAGCTCTGCCTTGAATTTTAAAAGGCTCTTGATTTAATCTTTTGAAAGATTAACTATTTAACACGATGCCAGAAATAAAACCCTACTGATGATAGATGAAATTATCTTTGCCAGTTAATTTATATTATTAGAAAATCAATGTCATTGAGCTCACTGATACATAATACAAGCAGTTAGTAATGAAGAGCTCGTTTGGAATGTGCTGTGTACTGCATGTGTAAAGTAATCATATAAAAGCAGTGTTGAAGAGAACATTGCTGAGATTACAGCCTGTGCATAGAGGATAGGAAGTGTCAGAATTGGGGCTTGGCAGAGCAGTCATGGTTGAGTCCTCCAGCATGTAGACATTGCGATAGTATTTAACTGCATGATAGCCTGCCTTCTTTTTTCCTTTTGTCAGAGAACACCAGCTTCATTCAGCGCATGGAGCAAAGTTTTCACTCCACCAACAATGTATCCACTATTTTGTTTTCTTTTTCTTTTGTGTGCAGACTGGTGCCTCACCGCACCCTATGCAAAGGGCAATAAGGCAGCCTGTTACTTTCCTTTTAGTCTTCTCTTGGGAACATAAAAAAGAAGAAAGAGGCAGACCTGTCCTGTGGCACTTATCTCTGAGTGTTTCACAAACGTTGGATTTATTTTCATAAAAGTGGCACTGAGAAAAGGGATGCGTTTAGAAATAAAGCTGTCGTTCAGCCAGATTGCCTCTCCTGCAGCATTCCTGCTCGCTCGCATCTGCAGCTAGCGAGGTGGGGACATGACAAGTCTCCTTCGAAGATTTCATAACTCTGACACCCTGTACTCTAAATCTGACATAACTATATCATCCTCAGAGCAGCGCTGTCACTCACTCACTGAGCCATAGACGGAAAGCTTTAAATCCACCTTCCAGATGTCTGCCCCTGAGCTGCCGGAGTGATGTACGGGACTATTGGGTTGTCACTTTTGAAATAGGACTGTGACAAAGGGATGTGGGGTGCTTTCTCCAGCAGGTTTAATGTGACTCTTTGAAAGCGGGAGCGTCGTGCTTTTCATTTCCGTGCTTTTAAAGCTGGCTTGTGTGGTCTTCTTTGCCAGCTCCTCACAGTCACCATACCATCAGCTTCATCCCCAGACAAAATAAGTTCAGTGCAATTAGGCAGTGATAATCCCATTCTCAGTCTGGAGGTGAAAGGGAGAATCTCCAGCAGGTGAAACTGGGCGTGTATGTTTGCTCTTCTGGGAAGGAAAGGAAAGGGAACTGCAAAAAGGTCACAGTTTGTGCTCATAGATTTGATTGGCCACATAATAGTTTGTAAAGTTTGGAGTCTGATGTTGAGATCTGTGCAACAGGGAATAAAATGTGCCCTTAATATGTAACAGCCTGGGTAATCTTGCATTTGCTTTCTCCTTTCAATGCCCTCCAACCCCCTGCCAAGGCTTCCCCCCTTAGCTGTGCTTTTCTGCAATTTTGGGATTCCCAGAATGCTGTTTTGGTTCACAGTGCTCTTTTAAGGCTGCCTACCTCTCTAGGATGCCCTTTCCTAGCTTTTATCATTAGCTATTGGTGTCATGTCTTCCACAATGGCAGCCTGACGAGATATGAAAGAGAGAAAAATATTCTGAAAAAATATAGGCTTCTCTATGTTTGCTGTCTTGTGTGCTACTATTGGATTTTAATTTATCACAATGAAAAATCAATTTGTAGCTCAAAACTAGCAAATTTTTAAAAATTGGCAATGTCATAGCTGACTTCATACAAATGACTTAAGAGAATTGCTCCATAATTCATTACTGATGAAGGGCTGTAGTCGGGCTATTCCTGAAAATCATAAGCATGATTTTCTTCTCCTGCACTTTATAGGTCTAATAGGTTCCAGACCTAATATTCATCAAAAAGTATTGATTTTAATCATACCATTTTTCCAGCCGTCAGGAATTCTGCCCTTTGAGTAAATTTATCTGTGAAGGAGGTTAGGTTGAAAATGGAAAAATATTTGGGAAGATTTTATTTAAGAAGGCTACAAGGAGGATTTGCTGTGAGTTTGCACCACAGACACGAGGCACTGTAATACATCTCCAGCACTGCGAAAGCAACAAAATCCTTAACTCCACATAGCAGGATATGCAAATTTTTTAAAGGCCCATCATTGTTCATTAGCTATTTATGAGTATTATTTTGTTAATCACACACATCAGGCTATCTTGCTGTGATAGCTTAGTAATGCTTCATTAGACACGCATGACTAATACGGTCTCCGTAAAGAGGCTGTAATTGTCTCATTGTTTATTAATGTTACAATAAATCTTTGTTTACTGTAGGTTACTTTCCAAAATGCGTTCAAAAACAATACTTTAATTGTATAAAATAGTAAGGAAACCGTTTTCTCCTACATTCATGTAACGAGGTATGCTTTTACATTCATGCTCTACCTGCAAAATTCTGTTGATGTTAATGAAAGCCCAGACACTGTGAAAGAGAAATATGACAAAGGCAAAAATATACTGTTAAGCTTTAAGTCAGGAATTATTTCTGTTAAAGTAAAATTTGGTTTCAGGGATAGACAGATTACTTGAATACACTGCAGTATATATCTCTCTACAAACTGTTATTACTGGTGAAATACCCAGATTCTTCTGTCATCCAAAAAGTGTGGTAGACCTGTATCAGTACCTCATTTGTCTGAAACAGCATAAACTATGGATTGTGACCCAATCTATTAAGATGCCAACCACTTCACCCACTCCTCTTATTTTGTCACCCAAAGAGCGAGTTTCATTTTCATGATTTCTTAGGCACTTTGGAGAGGTTAGTTGTTCAGTGACACCAACCCATATCTTGATGAAAATACAGGGCTTGGCCACAGGCCTGTGTTGTAAAATTCCTTTGTTACGTGCTGCGAAGAAGTATTGCAGTGTGGTGCTCATGTTTTATGAATTTAATCCATAGCCATTTTCTTCAGGCTTTCAATATGAAGCTGAGAAAGGAAAATGGTGTGTGTATATCGTGTTGGCCATCTACTCTCACTCTTCCTGCTGGCCTCAGATAGTTCTCTTCTGGTGAGTTCATGTTACAGCTGTGACATGACCCAATCATGGGTTTAGATTTCTACATCTTGCCCATCTTGCTGACCTTTTAAGCTCTCTTGACCTTCTACTGCAGAGGCTTTTTCAGGTTGTTGCTGAGGCTTCTGTAAAGCATCTTCCAGGTTGATCAGAGGCTGTGACAGTTTTGTGTCTGATATCCCCAGTATTGGGTACTCTTCTCCATTTGATGAGAATGACAGTGTTAATTACGCTGATAGATTGCTAGCAGGACAGCTGAAGTTGGCTGAAAGAAAATTTTAGCAAGATGAAAATTCTCACTGTTGGCTGAAGATACCTCATTTAAAATGTACCAAAGGTACTTCTTGATTTTACTGGAAATCTGTTGGTTCTGGCGTCTTTGACCAGAAATCGAGGTATGATTATGGATCTCTAATTACTCCTTGAAGCACATGTGCTGGAGCAGATGAAATGTCAAACTGTCAAGTCTCTCTCACTGAGACTCTCACTCATCTCTGAATATTTAAAAATAGAAATAAAGGAAGGAACTCTTTTTATCTGCTTCGTACTCGCTCTGCAGTGAGCTGCAGAGATGGTAATGAGTAGTTCATCAGATTCTCGTGTTTGCTGGAGCATGGTGATGTGCAGAAAGTTGTGAAGGTCCCCTCCTGGAGCCCTCTCTGGATCCAGTACAGAACACGCCAGGATTAATTTCATTCCTTTCATTCCTTTAAAATTGGTCTTCCCAAAGTCCCTGTGGCCTCTTTG